GGCAGTTAGGGTAAGATATAAACAGCTATTGGAGGATAGATGGGATAATGAGAGCATAGGCAATGGGGTCGAAGAGGTATGGGGTAGGTTTAAAAATGTAGTGTTAGAGTGTTCAGCAGAAGTTTGTGGTTACAGGAAAGTGGGTGCGAGAGGGAAGAGGAGCGATTGGTGGAATGATGATGTGAAGAGAGTAGTAAGGGAGAAAAAGTTAGCATATGAGAAGTTTTTACAAAGTAGAAGTGATGCAAGGAGGGAAGAGTATATGGAGAAAAAGAGAGAGGTTAAGAGAGTGGTGAAGCAATGTAAAAGAGAGCAAATGAGAGAGTGGGTGAGATGTTATCAACAAATTTTGTTGAAAATAAGAAAAAGTTTTGGAGTGAGATTAACAAGTAAGAAAGCCTAGAGAACAAATGGATTTGTCAGTTAAAAATAGGAGAGGAGAGTTATTAAAATGGAGATTAGAGGTATTGGAAGATGGAGGGAAATATTTGAGGAATTGTTAAATTTTTGATAAAAGATAGGAAGCTTTTGATTTCGTGTATAGGCAAGGAGGAACAACATCTTGTGGAGTGAGGAAGAGCCAGTTGTGAGTGTGGGGGAATTTTCGTGAGGCAGTAGGTAAAATGAAAGGGGGTAAGGCAGCCGGGATTGATGATAAAGATAGAAATGTTAAAAGCAGGTAGGGATATAGTTTGGAGTGGTTGGGGGCAATTATTTAATAAATGTATGGAAGAGGGAAAGGGTACCTAGGATTGGCAGAGAGCATCATAGTTCCTTTGGGTATAAAGGCAAAGGGGATAAAAGAGAGTGCAAAAATTATAGGGGGATAAGTCTGTTGAGTATACCTGGCAAAGTGTATGGTAGAGGTTATTATTGAAAGAATTAAGAGTAAGACGGAGAATAGGATAGCAGATGAACAAGGAGGCTTTTAGAAAGGTAGGGGGTGTGTGGACCAGGTGTTTACAGTGAAACATATAAGTGAACAGTATTTAGATAAGCTAAAGAGGTCTTTGTGGCATTTATGGATTTGAAAAGGCGTATGACAGGGTGGATAGGGGGGCAATGTGGCAGATGTTGCAGGTGTATGGTGTAGGAGGTAGGTTACTGAAAGGCAGCGAAAGTTTTTACGAGGATAGTGAGGCTCAAGTTAGAGTATGTAGGAAAGAGGGAATTATTCCCAGTAAAAGTAGGCCTTAGACAAGGATGTGTGATGTCACCGTGGTTGTTTAATATATTATAGATGGGTTGTAAGAGAAGTAAATGCGAGGGTCTTGGCAAGAGGCGTGGAGTTAAAAGATAAAGATCACACATAAAGTGGGAGTTGTCACAGTGCTCTTTGCTGATGACACTGTGCTCTTGGAGATTCTGAAGAGAAGTTGCAGAAATTGGTGGATGAATTTGTAGGGTGTATCAAAAGAAGAAAATTGAAAGTGAATACAGGAAAGAGTAAGGTTATGAGGATAACAAAAAGATTAGTGATGAAAGATTGGATATCAGATTGAGGGAGAGAGTATGGAGGAGGTGAATGTATTCAGATATTTGGGAGTGGACATGTCGCGGATGGTCTATGAAGATGAGGTGAATCATAGAATTGATGAGGGAAAAGGGTGAGTGGTGCACTTTGGAGTCTGTGGAGACAAAGAACTTTGTCCTTGGAGGCAAAGAGGGAATGTATGAGAGTATAGTTTTACCAACGCTCTTATATGGGTGTGAAGCATGGGTGATGAATGTTGCAGCGAGGAGAAGGCTGGAGGCAGTGGAGATGTCATGTCTGAGAGCAATGTGTGGTGTGAATATAATGCAGAGAATTCGTAGTTTGGAAGTTAGGAGGAGGTGCGGGATTACCAAAACTGTTGTCCAGAGGGCTGAGGAAGGGTTGTTGAGGTGGTTCGGACATGTGGAGAGAATGGAGCGAAACAGAATAACTTCAAGAGTGTATCAGTCTGTAGTGGAAGGAAGGCGGGGTAGGGGTCGGCCTAGGAAAGGTTGGAGGGAGGGGGTAAAGGAGGTTTTGTGTGCGAGGGGCTTGGACTTCCAACAGGCATGCGTGAGCGTGTTTGATAGGAGTGAATGGAGACAAATGGTTTTTAATACTTGACGTGCTGTTGGAGTGTGAGCAAAGTAACATTTATGAAGGCGTTCAGGGAAACCCGGCAGGCTGGACTTGAGTCCTGGAGATGGGAAGTACAGTGCCTGCACTTGAAGGAGGGGTGTTAATGTTGCAGTTTAAAAACTGTAGTGTAAAGCACCCTCTGGCAAGACAGTGATGGAGTGAATGATGGTGAAAGTTTTTCTTTTTCGGGCCACCGTGCCTTAGTGGGAATCGGCCAGTGTGATAATATAATAATATATATATATATATTTATATATATATATATATATATATATTATATATATATATATATATATATATAACACGTCGGCCGTTTCCCACCGAGGCAGGGTGATCCAAAAAGAAAGAAAAACTTTCATCATCAATCAACACTTTCACCATCATTCATACATAATCACTGTCTTTGCAGAGGGCTCAAATACGACAGTTTAGATGTTTCCCCAAACAGCCAATGTCCCAAATCCCTCCTTTAAAGTGCAGGCTTTATACTTCCCACTTTCAGAACTCAAGTCCGGCTAACCGGTTTCCATGAATCCCTCCCACCTCACCTTCCCCAACCTATTCGTGTACAACACACGCACGATTCGTACGCACACACACACCACACACACACACACACACACCACACACACACACACACACACACACACACACACACACACACCACACACACACACACGTGTGCAGCACCAGTTTGGAGCCCATACCTAGCCAAGCACGTAAGGAAATTAGAGAAAGTGTAAAGGTTTGCAACAAGGCTAGTCAAGGAGCTAAGGGACATGTCCTACGAGGAGAGGTTAAGGGAAATCAACGTGACGACACTGGAGGGCAGGAGAGATAAGGGGGGATATAACAACATATAAAATACTGAGAGGAATTGACAAGGTGGACAGAGACAGGATGTTCTAGAGATGGGACACAGCAACAAGGGGTCACAATTGGAAGTTGAAGACTCAGATGACTCACAGGGATATTAGGAAGTGTTTCTTCAGAGTTGTCAGGAAGTGGAATAGTCTGGGAAGTGATGTAGTGGAGGCAGGATCCATATATAGCTTTAAAGAGAGGCATGATAAAGCTCATGGAGCAGGAAGAGTGACCTAGTAGCAACCAGTGAAGAGGCGGGGCCAGGAGCTGTGAATCGACCCCTGCAACTACAGCTAGATGGGTACACGTACGTGTTACAAAAAAAAAAAACATGTTGATGAAGACAACATTGCACAGGTGTTGAAACCTCTTGCGCCCTACCCAATGTTATTAGGACAAGTGATGCAACTCACATAACATGTTAGCTGAGTTAAGTTTACAGCAGCAGTTAATGATACGTTTTTCCACTAACTTTTTTCCTTCTCTAATGTATTCCCTCTGTTTCTTTTGTTTTTTTCTTCCCCTTATTCTCCTATTTCCTACATCCATCCCATTTTTTTCCTTTCCCTGCCCTTCTTCCCTTTCCTTTCCTTCCCCTCGGCATACTCCTGACAACCCCGGTTATGGTACAGTCTTCCAAGCAGGAGGAAAGCGGGTGGAGAGGGGAGGGGGGAGCTATTCGTTGGTAGTGCGAGGCTTCCAGTGCCTTTCCATGTTCGGATCCGAACTGCCCTCCTGGAGTGTGGCCTCGATGTGTTTGCAGTCACAGAGGTTCAGTTCTCTCCCTGTCCTCCTTAGATAGTGCCTGAGGTATGTCTAGAAGCAGTGGATGGGGGCCCCTATGTACCGAGCTTCGATGAAGACCTTGGTTACTTTACCGGAGCATGATTTGTTGAATGGTGTAGATAAAGATTTATATAATGTGTCAAAGTGGTGTTTGCTTTGCAGTGATCGCTGATTCACTGTGAACTCTGATTTTTATTGTGCTCTGTTTGCACTGGCCCGGTAACCTTACTTGGTTAGTCTATGCTGCATGACCCTTGTCGGTTTAGCGCTTTCTTTAATTATAATAATAATTTGGTTAGTGTGTCTCCTCGCCCAGCATAAGGATTCTTACGGTGTCTGGGTCATGTCGAGGTCCCTGGAAATGAAGAGATGGATGCTAAGGAAAAGACTGCTATTTTAAGTTTATTCAATAGTAGACTTATGTCACAGTGACTGCATGGGTCACACATAGATATGACCGTGGAAAGTGTCAGGATTGGTGAGCCTTGCAGGCTGAAAAGCTGTACAGGGCCCTCTCCTTCAATAGGAATCGTCATTTTGAGACGAACCTATAAATTAAGGATCGTGTACGTCGGTACGCCTTACCCACAGCTGCTCTGCTGTGCAGGTGCTCCTGCGCCCCTAAGTGCAATTTGTGATGTGCTGCTGATAGTACACCACATTCTAACATTCTTTTAACATTGACAATTTAATGTTTGTTTTAAATGATTCCGGTGTATTTTGCATTTTATTTTTATTATTAAGTTCACCGAGTGCTCTAATAAGTCAAAAGATTCTTCAAATCTAAAAAGTTGTCTCCTTGCCTCCCCTTCACCAATCATCTCTGTGCTCCCTTCACTTTACCTTCATACACAATGCAAACACGTTTACATTCCCTTCTTCCCCTCACATTATAAAAATGAATTCATAAATGGCTTATGGTAATTATTTTTCCCCCATAAAAATATATTTTTTTATTTACACGTTTATATTAAGGTTTATGTAAGTTACGGAAAATAAAAAATAGTATATATAAGAGGGTTGATACAGAGCTAGGTTAGGAGTTCCTATGTTGCCCAGAATTCACAGCATTACAGTTGTGATAAATTCAGCTACATCTCTTCCCGTCCGGTTAATATTTTGCATGGAACGTAAGGAGGATGGGTGAAGGGAGGGGGGTTTGAGATAACATGCTTTTGAAAGTAAACATTGTAATGACGTGACCTGTACTTCCCTGGTACTGGTGGTCCTCACACAGGTTCAGATTCTGCTGTGGCTACGGGTCTGCTGCGGCTCTTCCTCGACGAACTGCCTCACCCACTGCTCCCTCCAGAAGTGGCTCCTCTCCTTCTCCAGATGGCAACAGGTCAGATGCCTCTTTATTTTTTATTGTACACGCTTCTCTTATCAGGCTTTAATAATAACCATTAATTATTAGCATTACATTATTATTATTATTATTATTACTAGTAGTTAGTAGTAGTAGTAGTAGTAGTAGTAGTAGTAGTAGTAATAGTGGCGGTGGTAATGTAGATCATGCCTAGTCTCATTTTCAAACTAAATCCTAAATCCTGTTGTCACCAAAATGATGCTTTAGTTAGTTTATTAGGTTTGAAGCCTCTCGATTGCATGATGGTTGTTTAGGTTATTGATGTCTTTCTTGTATGTGACGTCATATTATTGACCAGCATCTTTTCAGCCATATTGGACGTCAAGCCGCATTGACAACCACCTACCCTAACGTCACTCGCTTATAAATGAATGTTTCTCATCCAATTGTGCCTCTACGATAGTTACTGCTTGTTGTGCTCATGTTTGGGGTGATCGGTTAGATGATAATACCAATCAAGGGTTCTACAGGTTCTTCGAGAATTTTGAAAAACGAAACATTGAATTTTTGTGAGTCAGAACGGCTGAATGGTATACCACCAGTCGAGAATCTGTTTATTTCTTAAAATAAGGATTAAGATAAGCTCTCAGCTTAGATTTATTGGGCTTAAAATGAATCGACTAAACGAGGGTCATTTAGAGATTTTAGACTACACGTCACCTATAGACAAGTCAAGAATACATTAATCCCTAAAACTTCGATTACAATAAATTAAATAATTACAGTATGTACTAAGAGATATACAAATTTCTGTGCATATATATAACCCTCAGCCCTTGATAAAAACTGGTGATGAAAATTGATAAAAACCTGTTTTAAATCAGTAACTCATGTTGCTAGAAACTATAAATAATAATAATAATAATAATAATAATAATAATAATAATAATAATAATATTATTATTATTATTATTATTATTATTATTATTATTATTATTATTATTATTATGCATAGTAAAAGAAGGTAAAAATGACTTCATGCTACTGAAAGGTAACGGCCTAAATGTATCATTATATGGCTATTTAGGTAGGTAAGTTGAACAGGACATGGAAATGACTGAGGTACTTGATAATGATATGAGCGCTGCACTGGTATGCATCAAGATTTTTGTAGTATGTAGGGTGAGATATTGTTTAATACATAACAATATAAATCATGACTTGTGAAGTGATAGGGCAGCTGACAACAAGTACACATATTGTGAAATGGGAAACAGGCCATCTCACAGCAAGTATACATCCTGTCCTCCTAACTTAAGTTTGTGCAGGTATATATTGCTATATATTGCAATAATAACCCTTCAGATGACAAAGTTCAGCTGGGAGTGCAAAAGGGGGGGGGGTGAACGAGCGAGTGTATCACATATATTTCTCAATACAAGTGCGTGCAGTTTGACATCCATTATGACTGACATTGTAAAATATCACGTTATTGAAAAACGTTCAGGATAGAAAATGCGCACCAGTGAGAATTGCAGTGTTTAAAGATGACTAAATAGGAAATATAGTGAACTTGGTTTATATACAGAAAGGGGCCTACTCCTCGGCATATTTGTTTGCTTCAAGGACTGATATGGCGCCCCTTGGTGCCAGAAACCTTCCCTCATTTGACTGTCAAACTTTCGCTGTGGTTGGTTGGTTGGTTAATAGGAGTCAGTAAAGAATAAAAAAGTCACAGTACCGTAACTGGAACAATGCACATATAACCCGCACAAAGAAGACTGAAACTTATGACGACTTTTCGCTTCGACTTGGAAAATTAATAAGTCTTGTGACTTGTTAATGGTCCAAGTCAGACCGAAATGTCGTTGTTTCAGTCTTTTATGTGCGGGCTATTTGTGTAAAGGGACAGTAAGGCGGCAAGATAACTTTTGCACCACTTGACAAGAACACTTTAATTCCCTAAATACGGATTAAAGTAAACTATCAGCATACATTCACTGAAAGAATGAGACTGTTTCCAGACAGTGGTTGAGACTAGACTGTAGCTGCTAGTTAGTCATCCTGCCCGTGGTGCCGAGAAAGCCACTCTCCGTACATACACCTCTGTGTATGATACTTTGTTTACCAAGTGTTTAAACGGAATATGTTAAATCTGTTTCAGTCAGGTCTCCTGTAAACCCCCCAAAATTTTATAGCGTATGGAGAGGCCTTCGTAATGTTTGCTATTCAATTTACGATGGACTTTTCAGATGCATTTTCGTAAAATTGCCTTGTATAGAGAAGCTTTATAAGAAGCCTAATAGCTGACTGCAGTAGTGTATATTAAAATTATTTATAATAATAATGACAAATTGATAATTACTAATATTATTTTTCTTGTTATCGTAAGTTATTTTCAATGCTTTTGTAGTTTTACTTCTGCCTTGTCTCCGGGCAGGTAGGTAAGTGCGTAGGTTGGTAGGTAAGGGATGAGCTGTCGAGGTGCATGGGGTAGGTTCGAAGGTACATGGAAGCATGTTCGAAGGTGCATGGAGGTAGGTTCTGTATGTAGGTGGGTAGGTAGTTAAGGACTGTACGTAGGTAGATACGCAGTTAAGTATGTGAACGGGTATAAGCTAATGAACGTGGGGGTATAGGTACATCTGTTAGACTAAAGTAGTTTATGGTCATACATGCATAATATATGTTTTAAAAGAAGATATATTGCTGCCATGGGGGGGAGATGGATAGCCTGGGAATTAGGGGTATACTCATTTGGGAATAATTCCGTGAATTAATGATGCAACAAGAACTTAATTATGATGAATACACATGTAATTGTATGTGATTGATTAGGGCAGGAAGCAGCTTAACCTAATTTAAATAATTATAATGAATGGTAAAAATTCAATGAGTGTTTAAATAAGAACAATGAATTTTTATATGTTCGGCTTATCTAAATTTTGATGAATATAAATGTAAACGACCATTATGTTAATAACTGAGATCTTTACTACATATAAGCAAATACACCCACTGGCCACTTAATTAGGCACACCCTTCTAGTAATGGGTAAGGCTGCCCTTTGCCTCCAGAACAGCTTGGATTTTTTGTGGGACGGATTCAACAAGGTGAAGGAAACATTCCTGAAAGATTCTGCTTCATGTAAACGTGATAGCATCACACAATTGCTGCAGATTATCTACTGCACATTTATGCTGCGAATCTCCCTGTTCCACCACATCCCAAAGGTGCTCTGTTGAATTGAATCTGGTGACTGTGGAGGCTATTCAAGTACACTAAACTCATTGTCATGTTCATGGACCCAGCTTGAGATGACATGTACTTTATGACATGGCTAGTTGTTCTTCTGGAAATTGTCATTGGAAGATGGATAGACTGTGGCCGTAAAGGGATGTGCAACAAAACCCATGTAGGCTGTGACATTAAACAATGCTCATTTGGTATTATGATGCCTAATGTGTGCCAATAAATTCTCCACACCATTACGCCATCAGCCTGAAATATTGACACAGGGGAGGATTTATCCACGGATTCATTTTTTTTTTTTGCCAAATTCTGACCATAACATCTGCATGTCACAGCAGAAATCGCGATTCGTAAAATCAGGCGACGTTTTTCCAATCTTCAGCTATCCAGTTTTGGTGAGCCTGTGCCCACTGTAGCCTCAGTTTCCTGTTTTTAACTGACAGGAGTAGAACCCGGTGTGGTCTTCTGCAGTTGCAGCCAATTTACTTCAGGGTTTGACGTGTCTGTTCATAATGCTCTTCTGTATACCTCTGGTGTAACATGTGGTTATTTGAGTTATTGCCACCTTGAACCTGTCTGGCCATTATCTGAACTCTCTCACAGAACAGCTTTTTACTGTAAACTCTAGACACTGTTGCACGTGAAAATCCCCGAAGATCAGTTTCTGAGCTACTTACACCATCCCGTCTGGCACCAGCAATCATTCCACGAACAGTGACTTAGATTACATTTCTTCCGTATTCTGATGTTTGATCTGAGCAATAACTGAATCTCATGACCGTGTCTGCATGCTTTTAGGCACTGAGGTGCTGTCACTTGATTGGCTGATTAGATATTTGCATTAACAAGGTGTTCAGGTGTACCTGTTGAAGGTGCCACTGAATATGTGTGTGTGCGCACGCGTGTATGTGTGTGTGTACTTACCTAATTGTGGTTGCAGGGGTCGACTCACAGCTCCTGTGCGTGTGTGTATGTGTGTTGTCTTGCCGAATAAGCCAAACCTGAGAGTTAAGCAAATTTTTTATACCATAAAGTTGCGAAAATCAATTATATATATATATATATATATATATATATATATATATATATATATATATATATATATATATATATATATATATATATATATATATATACTTAGTGGTTGATATCTTTACAATATCGCATTTTTTTCATTGTTTCTATTTCCATCTCATGACAGATTCGGGAGTGGGTGAGAGAAGAGAGAGCGAGGGTTTGTGTGGCGGCAGCGGAGGAGGAGAGGGAGGAGCAAATGAGAGTGAGCTGGAAGGAGGAGGAGGGGAGGTAGGAGGAGTGGGAGGGGGAGGAGAAGAAGGACCTCCAGGGCTGTGTGTAGCAGTGGTGCCCCGCCTCCGACGCCTCCTGCACCGCCGTGTACCCGTACACAACCTCTGCCTCCTACGTTACCTCGCTGCCTTCATCCACCAGCTGCGAACTGGCAACCACAACACGTGAGTACACTGGTGCTGGGTTGTTGTTGTTGTGGGCAACCACAACACGTAAATATACTACTGCGGGTTGTTGTGGGCAATCACAACACGTGAGTACACTAGTGCTGGTTGTTGTGGGCAACCACAACACGTGAGTACAGTAGTGCTGGTTGCTGTGGGCAACCGCAATACGACAGTACACTGATTGTTGTGACCAATCAGAACACGTGGGTACAATTATTGTTGATGCTGTGGGCAGTGAGAACACATTGGTACAATAACAGTTTTTGTTGGCAACCAAAGGGTGGGCAAAATAGTGGTTGTTGTGGCCAACCACAATACGTGGGTGAAATGGTGGTGGCTCTTGTGGGCAACCACAACGCGTTAGTTCATTCGTGGTTGTTGGCAAGTGCATCACGTGAATACACATTTAGTTGTGTGGGTTACTACACACCAGTCATGGGGTTACATGGGGTGTATCGCACAACAGGTGAGTGGGGTGGCGCTTGTATGGGTGGGTCTTACGGATTGCTCAATCATAAGTACACTTATCATTCCACTTGATCTATGGTCGGCGTTGTCGTCGTCGCCTGATAAGTGTTCTCTGGCAGAACTACGTTTAAAATGTCTTCTTTAGTGTAGTTCATTGTTTTGTGTGTCGCTGCTTGCCTGTGTTGTGGAACCGTGAGTTCTGTGAGTATTATTGGAAGCGCTGTTGGTTTTCTCTCTCTCTCTCTCTCTCTCTCTCTCTCTCTCTCCTCTCTCTCTCTCTCTCTCTCTCTCTCTCTCTCTCTCTCTCTCTCTCTCTCTCTCTCTCTCTCTCATTCATTCATGCCTTTCTCCTCATTTTTCATTTACCTCTAGCTTATACATTTTCTTTTTTCATACTCTCTTCTTAATTTTTTCTTACCTCGATCACTTCGTCTTTCCTGGCGTTGTTTCTCATGACCTCATTCACTTAATCTTTTATAATGGTCTTATGAATGTGATTATTTTGCAGTATTTACACGATGGTAAGCTGTGATGTTGTTACCTTTGGATTTTGGTGCAGATTTGTAAAAAAAAAATGTTTAGGTATTGGGGACTAGATTTAAGCCACAGTGAGCAGCATACATTGTGACTGTTTAAAAACGTACCATGATTATGCGCGATGGAAATTTTAGCACTCTAAGTCACTGTGAATATATATATAATACTCGGTCCCTCAGCTTTAACATGTGTTCAGGCCCTCAGCCTTGATAAAACTAAAGCAGATGCATCAAAATGGTAACTTATATACTGGAGCAAAAAAGCGGCGCAGCAGTTGAAGACATTATTACAGGTGGACAGGCCCCACCAGTGAAATATTGTCTTATTCATCAACTAGACGGAGCTGTGTAGTTATACCATTAGTGTAATGATAATTCTCCTCGTCCACTTTTTCATTGTCAAGAGTGTGGTCATAGGGTGGGGGAGACAGCCTTCTATAGTACAGATACTAATCTTGGTTTCATCTGTCTACTAAACACAAGTAAGGATGAAAGGTATTTCTTGACGTATTTCTTCGATGTAGATTGCATGATCCTCAATATATTTTGCATGAGCTTCGATATAGACTGTATCATGCACAAATAACCTGCACATAGAGAGAAACTTGCTTTACAACAACGTTTAGGTCCGACTTAGACCATTTACAAAGTCATGTGTGACTTTGTAAATGGTTCAAGTCAGACCGAAACGTCGTGGTAAGCTTCTCTCTCCTATATGCGGGTTATTTGTGTATTGTTCCTTTTTGTTCTTCCTAGACTGTATAATATTCAAAATGGACAGTATATAGACTATGATCGTATTTTGTCGGTTTTTTCACGTATGCATAGTACATCCATGTACTTCCATATATTTCTGTGCACTCCCATATTCACCTGTGCGCTCCCCTATACTCATGCACTGCCATATACTACCTTGTACCTCTACTTTCATCTCTAGAACAACCCCTGCCCTCACAAAGGCACTTTTTTTCACTGTAGCAAATAGGGCATGTGTTGTGGGCCTTGTGAACGTCTTTCCAAGAAGTCAAGAGGCTTCTCTCAATGCTGCGGTATTGAGGTTCTCTCCTCCAGGCTGCTCCTCGTTCTCCTCTTCACCTTGTTTCTTCCTTCTAAGTTGCTCTCCCTTTCCTTCATTGATCCTCCTCAAGACCACCTACTAATTATCATCTCCTCTTCCTCCTCCTGTACCTGTTAACCTCTCATGAGAGATTACTTTCCGAGAGGTCTTACAGAACGAAGAGATAAGAGTGAAGGTCTTCCATTAGGGTGGCTTTGCGTTTCTACGTTGTCACTGGCACTCACGCGCTCACTCAGACACTCGCGCCACACTGACGCTGGTTCACCTTACCGTGGTGGCAGAATTTGAGCGGTGTTACCTGATTAAAATTCCAGAATTCCCTGCCCCCTCTTGTTTCAGCTTAATAATCAAGAAAGTTTAACATTTCGTTAAAACGTGTTGTAGCTTATCTGTGATCTTCATTGATTTATGGATTTGGTTTAGACCGCAGTTACTGCTGACCACCGCCGCTAACGCATGCATAGCGTGACTCAAAGCCTTTGATTTGGAACAGCTTTCGTTATGGCTTGGACCGCGATACATTGTGACCTGGGTTCGAATCCTGCTGGCTGTGATATTTTTTGCGGTATTGTTGCACATTTATCTTTCTCATCTACTTGTCGGTATTGTATAATATTATTATAATAAATGGACTTTCGTTGAACCCTCCCTGACGCTTCCGTTGTCACTATCACTGCCGCTGACACCTCCGTTGTCGGTATCACCACCGCTGACGCCTCGGTTGTGTGACTTACAGCCCTTGGCTTGGGTCTATTTCCGGATATGTTATGGACTACGACTATTTTTTTGTAGTTTTCTTATATTTTTGTTAAATAGTTCTCCCCTGGGTGTTCATATGCAGAGACGAATTTACGTTTTATTCAAGAGCGCTGAGTGATCTTCAGAGGTCAAGTGCTCTTCAGATCTCACAACTATGTCCTTCAAACACTGACGCTTTCACTCACGCACGCGACCATCTTCCAAACATACACACACACGTGCGCTCACACTCTTCATTCACACATACTTCACACACTCGCTTATCTTCCAAGTGCACACACGCATTTTTTCCCTTACCTACGCACTCATTTTCCAAGCATTCACACTCGGTGCACCTCTTTCCACTTAGTCTGGCGTCCTCGCTGGAGTAATCATCTTAGGTTTCTGAAACCTCATTTTAAAGGTAAAATTGTAGATACGAAGCTCTTCTAAACTTGGGTTGACGGGTTGTGTCTTAAGATAAGCTGTGTAGTAACTGACGCAGCTTATCTTATGGCCTCGTACATTATAAGTCTTATGTGGTGGTTATCCAGTAGGTGTCGAGACATAAAGTGATCTCTTGTTTATAACATTGGTGATAAGGATGTGCCAGGCTGTTGGTGGTGGTGGGGAGAGAGAAAGAGGAGAAAACGCTAGAGGGAGAGAGAGAGGGAGGAAGAAAGGGGGAAGGTGATAAGTGTGGGAATGGGGTGGAGAAATAGGTTGGTAATAAATACTATGAAGGTGATGCTGCGCGCGTATACTGAAACGTGACATGCGAACTCCGTAGAGTTTAACTGATGCTGTCTCTGGTGAACTCCGTTTTCTTTGTCTGGAAATGTTTACCTTCTCTGCGATAGTTAAGTCCACTGATGTTACCTGAAGGTTACCACAACACGATTTCTGGGGTCACCGCCCCCGCGACCCCGTCCCGAACATGTTACTACAGAATATCGTTTATTCTTTACACTATAATTCACTGAATCGCTTTGAATCTATAAAGACTTTAAGCACAAAACTGAATCACTAAAGTGATATAATAGAATAAGTACAGTTTTATTTCTTGGTTTTATATATCCATGTGCGTGAGGGCATTTTGCGTGCGTAAGCTTGTACACGCGTGTTACGACTTTGATGTAACTCAGTACTCCATAATAACGTGCGTGCGCTCTCACGTAATTATACTCGCCTATTTGTTATGCAGGTGTCGGGTTTCGGCTCCTGGCCCTGACTTCCGCAGATAAACTTGTGTTAAATGAGGATAAAGGCTGCTAGACCAAGAGTTACTATGATAATAGTGGCCTTTTTAGCGAGGTGAATACGTAGAGAAGAATTCAGAAATTTATTTATTTGTTTATTTATTCCAGTTCCTCCTTCCTTGAATAATAGGTGTCATTAACCCTGGGCCTGTGGTGGTGTTTACACTGCTGTTTGTTCTTGATGCCAGGGACTTGTTCTTAGAGCATGCAAACAGTAACTTATTTAAACAGTGTCATTTGCAAACAATAGCCTCTTGCGAATTGTGTAAATTTATAGTCGATTTTCATGATGGCCAACGATATAAATAAGTTAATTTGTGAAATCAGCGTTGGGTTGGCCGATGCATTATTAGTGCTGTGTTAACATTGCATTGTGTACATCACCAATGTTATCATTATTGTATTGTGTACACCAATGTTATCGTCATTGTATTGTTTACACCAGGTTATCATTATTGTTTTGTGTACACCAGTTATCGTCATTGTATTGTGTACGCCAGTGTTATCATTATTGTATTGTATACACCAGTGTTATCATCACTGAATTGTGTACACCAGTGTTATCATTAAATTGTGTACATCATCAGTGTTTTCATCATTGTATTGTACGTATCACCAGTGTTGCTATCATTGTATTGTGTGCATCGGTGTTAACATTGTATAGAGTACATCACCAGAGTTATCATTGTATTGCGTGCATCTCCAGTGTTATCATTGTACTACGTACGTCATCACTGGGAAACGCTAAACTAGTAAGGGTCACACATCCCTGAGAAACAGGTGGTGCTCAGATTCGATCCTAGGAAGGGAAAGGTAGTTTAATTAGGAGTCGTGCAACATCCAAGCACTAACTGTAGAACAGATCATCCAAATACCGACTGTAGGGTAGATCATCCAAACACTGACTGTAGGGCAGATCATCCAAACACTGGCTGTAGGGTAGATCATCCAAACACTGGCTGTAGGGCAGATCATCCAAACACTGGCTGTAGGGTAGATCATCCAAACACTGACTGTAGGGCAGATCATCCAAATACTGACTGTAGGATAGATAATCCAAACACTGACTGTAGGGCAGATCATCCAAATACCGACTGTAGGGTAGATCATCCAAACACTGACTGTAGGGCAGATCATCCAAACACTGGCTGTAGGGTAGATCATCCAAACACTGGCTATAGGGCAGATCATCGGAACACTGACTTTAGGGCAGATCATCCAAACACTGACTGTAGGGCAGATCATCCAAACACTGACTGTATGGCAGATCATCCAAACACTCGCTGTAGGTTAGATCATCCAGACACTTGCTGTAGGGTAGATCATCCACACACTGATTGCAGGGCAGATCATCCAAACAATGACTGTAGGGTAGATCATCCAAACACTGACTGTAGGGTAGATCATCCAAACCAAACACTGGCTGTAGGTAGATCATCCAAACCAAGCACTGTAGGACAGATCCAAACACTGACTATAGGGCAGATCATCCAAACCCTGACTGTAGGGCAGATCATCCAAGCACTGACTGAAGGACAGATCATCCAAACTGACTATAGGGCAGCTCATCCAAGCACTGACTGTAGGGCAGATCATCCAAGCACTGACTGTAGGGCAGATCATCCAAGCACTGACTGTACAGCAGATCATCCAGACACTGACTATAGAGCATATCCAAACACTGACTGTAAAGCAGATCATCCAAACACTGACTGTAGAGAAGATCATCCAAACACAGACTAGAGCAGATCGTCCAAACACTGACTGTAGAGCACATCATCCAAACACTGACTGTAGAGCAGATCATCCAAACACTGACTGTAGGGTAGATCATCCAAACCAAGCACTGTAGGACAGATCCAAACACTGACTATAGGGCAGATCATCCAAACCCTGACTGTAGGGCAGATCATCCAAGCACTGACTGTATGGCAGATCATCCAAGCACTGACTGAAGGACAGATCATCCAAACTGACTATAGGGCAGCTCATCCAAGCACTGACTGTAGGGCAGATCATCCAAGCACTGACTGTAGGGCAGATCATCCAGACACTGACTGTAGGGCAGATCATCCAAGCACTGACTGTAGGGCAGATCATCCAAGCACTGACTGTAGGGCAGATCATCCAAGCACTGACTGTAGGGCAGATCATCCAAGCACTGACTGTAGAGCAGATCATCCAAACACTGATTGTAGGACAGATCATCCAAGCACTGACTGTAGGGCAGATCATCCAAACACTGACTGTAAAGCACATCATCCAAACACTGACTGTAGAGAAGATCATCCAAACACAGACTAGAGCAGATCATCCAAACACTGACTGTAGAGCACATCATCCAAACACTGACTGTAGAGCAGATCATCCAAACACTGACTGTAGAGCAGATCATCCAAACACTGACTGTAGAGAAGATCATCCAAACACAGGCTAGAGCAGATCATCCAAACACTGACTGTAGAGCACATCATCCAAACACTGACTGTAGAGCACATCATCCAAACACTGACTGTAGAGCAGATCATCCAAACACCGACTGTAGAGCAGATCATCCAAACACTGACTGTAGGGCAGACCATCCAAACACTGACAGTAGAGCACATCATCCAAACACTGTAGAGCAGATCATCCAAACACTGGCTGTGGGGCAGATCATCCAAACACTGACTGTAGAGCAGATCATCCGAACACTGCCTGTAGAGCAGATCATCCAAACACCGACTGTAGGGCAGATCATCCAAACACTGACTGTAGGGCAGATCATCCAAAAACTGACTGTAGGGCAGATCATCCAAACACTGACTGTAGAGCAGATCATGCAAACACTGGCTGTAAGGAAGATCATCCAAACACTGGCTGTAGGGCAGATCATCCAAACGCTGACTGTAGAGTAGATCATCCAAACACTGGCTGTAGGGAAGATCATCCAAACACTGGCTGTAGGGCAGATCATCCAAACACTGACTGTAGGGCAGATCATCCAAACACTGACTGTAGGGTAGATCATCCAAACACTGACTGTAGGGCAGATCATCCAAACACTGACTGTAGGGCAGATCATCCAAACACTGACTGTAGGGCAGATCATCCAAACACTGCCTGTAGGGCAGATCATCCAAACACTGACTGTAGGGTAGATCATCCAAACACTGACTGTAGAACAGATCATCCGAACACTGCCTGTAGAGCAGATCATCCAAACACCGACTGTAGGGCAGATCATCCAAACACTGACTGTAGGGCAGATCATCCAAACACTGACTGTAGGGCAGATCATCCAAACACTGACTGTAGAGCAGATCATGCAAACACTGGCTGTATGGAAGATCATCCAAACACTGGCTGTAGGGCAGATCATCCAAACGCTGACTGTAGAGTAGATCATCCAAACACTGGCTGTAGGGAAGATCATCCAAACACTGGCTGTAGGGCAGATCATCCAAACACTGACTGTAGGGTAGATCATCCAAACACTGACTGTAGGACAGATCATCCAAACACTGGCTGTAGGGCAGATCATCCAAACACTGGCTGTAGGGCAGATCATCCAAACACTGACTGTAGGGCAGATCATCCAAACACTGGCTGTAGGGCAGATCATCCAAACACTGACTGTAGGGCAGATCATCCAAACACTGACTGTAGGGCAGATCATCCAAAGACTGACTGTAGGGCAGATCATCCAAACACTGACTGTGGGGCAGATCATCCAAACACTGGCTGTAGAGCAGATCATCCAAACACTGACTGTAGGGCAGATCATCCAAACACTGACTGTGGGGCAGATCATCCAAACACTGCCTGTAGGGCAGATCATCCAAACACTGACTGTAGGGCAGATCATCCAAACACTGTAGGGCAGATCATCCAACCACTGACTGTAGGGCAGATCATCCAAACACTGACTGTAGGGCAGATCATCCAAACACTTACTGTAGGGCAGATCATCCAAACACTGCCTGTAGGGCAGATCATCCAAACACTGACTGTAGGGCAGATCATCCAAACACTGCCTGTAGGGCAGATAACGAGCAGCAACGTGTTGTGTCATGTTCGTCAACACGTCACCAAGATGTCATCATATTCCTGATGGTCTACAACAGCGACAAGTTGATGAATAAAGCTCTTTTGAAACACTCGGTTATCTTTATTGGCGAAAGGTTTCGCCTGCACAGTAGGCTTCTTCAGTCGAATACGGGTGAATACTTCTACTGCTCCCAGCGTTGTATCCATCTGTAATCGACTGAAGAAGCCTGTTGTTCAGGCGGAACTTTACGACAATGAAGTTGCCCAAATGTTGCACTTTGTGTCTTATTTATCAAGATGTTATGCTGAAGATTACAACTACAAACTTTACCCACAGTGATGACCACCAAATATGCTTTGTCTTCAACGAGATGCCTTCATGTTGCTGAAGTGCTCTTGAGTAGAGGAATTTTGCGCTACCCTTTTCCTCCTCGGATCATTTTCACAGACACTGTTGGATCCTAACGAGTCTAGTGTTTTTCAGCACTAATGATAATTAGTGAAACTTGAAATGACGAAACCTCAGCGCAGGAAGCTGATTATAATGGTTGGCACTGAGAGCACTTGAGTGTGGTTATGGTCTCTCAGGGTGTTGGCATTTTGTACCAGATGATCATATATCTGTTAACCCTCAGACCACCTTAACCTCTAGCTCATTATGCTTTATAGTTTGTGAATGTATGTGTGTTGTGTGTGTGTGTGTGTGTGTGTGTGTGTATTGTGTATTTATTTATTTCAGAGTTTAGGGATTTTTAGGGATAAAATGGAGTAAGATTGAGTGACTTCCTTCAGGAACAAGGCATCGCCTTCACTGGCATATTGATTTCAGCAGCTTGTCTTTTTTCGGCGAACCTACTACTTACTTTAATAAGCGTTTGGTTTCCAGCGAATTAGGCCACTGAGGTGTATTATATGCATTTACCCTACTGTCATCACCACATTCCTCTCAATGTATTTATTTTACTTTCAGCTTTTAGTGGTTATATTACGTAAAATTAGGCTGTTATCGGGAAATTGTCGTAATATGTTCTATAATATTCTAAGAATACTTTTCTTCTTTGTATTATTGTTCATACTTTTGTTACTTATTTTCTGGGAGTGTATGACAGAAACAGAAAAGCTAGTGATCACATAAATGCTTCTTGTTCTGACCCTGACAGCTGTCCAGTGGCCGTGGTATCGCTGAGTCGAGTGCTGGCACGGGTTGTGATTGCTCCAGACGACAAGGAGACGCAGGGGCAGGCAGCCAACAGGTTGGGAGAACTGCTTATCCTCTGCTACACCGACATCTTCCAGAGCAATGAAGAAATTGCTGATGATACAGATGATCTGAGGTGAGACTTTTCTGTAGTGACATTACTTCTGCTGTGATTTACCACCTTTGATTTTTAACGAATTATCGATTGTTTATAGAAAAAGCGTTCAGTAAACGCAGTTCAACACTCCCCGGTGAGGAAGGTAATGATCCTTTAGTGAAAGGAATTCATCCGACTTTCCCTACCCTTACAAGCAACCTCGTTGCCTTTCATTCCTCCATGCGTTGTATGACCACTATGAGTTAAACGCTTTCCTTTCTGATAATAGTCATTGTGGCGTAAGCAACAGTTACTAGATACAAATATAGATTATCATAACATTTTAACAAAATACAGGGTGCTTCAAAAAGATGGACCCAATTTCAAAGTATATTTCAGGATCGTGTTCTGTAATCTTGTGCACATAGAAATTGTTTGTGCGTAACCTTATTTTTTTTGTACGTTAAATAAAATATTTTTTCCCATAATGTAAAAAATGACCAAAATGTCAGTGGAAATGACAAATGTAATAATGTAAATGGAAATGACTATATCGATAATTTCCACTTTAATGTACACAGAGGTGACCATAATACAAATGGGAATGAATACTGTTTAAGTGTAAATGACCACTTTGTAAGTGGAAATGACCATTTTATAAGTGGAAATGACCAATTTCTAAATGTAAATAACCACTTTCGAAGTGTAAATGACCACTTTATGAGTGGAAATAACCACTGTGTAAGTTGAAGTGACTAATGTAAGCAGAAAAGTGTCAATATAAATATAATTGCCAGAATGCAAGCGGAAATGACCAGAGTGTAAGTGAGAATATTATGAAGTGCTAAACCCGTAGGGTTCATACAGCACTGAGAATTGGAGGTAATGGAGATTAATAATAATAATATTATTATTATTACATGAAGCGCTAAACTCGTGTGGGTCATTGAGTTCAGTAAGTGGTGTAGGCTTGATCTGTCCGCCAAGTTAGAAAAGGTGAGAGAGAGAGAGAGAGAAAATAGTGACCGACCGCCTGTGGTCTGCAGTGTTGGGACCTAGCATTTCCCTCGGCTCAAACGATCTTCACCAGTACCATCAAGGCTTCCAGAACAAAATGTGATAGTGGTTTTGCGTAATTTTTTTTTTTTTTGTGATACTGGAATGGTTGTTCACCTTTTTGGGAGTCGTTCGTGGGTTTAGTGATCGAGGCGTTTTAGGTGTCGTTGTTGAACAAGACACATGCGCAACACTAGGGTGTATTGCCGAAATGCGCAGGCGAAGCGTTCGGTCTAGCTGGCTAGGCAGGCAAAACATTTCGGCGATAAAAATACCCAAGTGTTGTACATGTGCCTTATTCACCAAAGTTCTTTCTTTAAAAGGAAGAGGGACACGCACTGAATATACACCGAGAAGTGTATGTCTCTCAGGATATATATCCTAAGAAATTACTTTAACCTCTTTTAGAGATTAAATTATTCTTGTCTGGTGGTAAAGAGCCTAAATGCTTTCGTGCAGTCGATAGGCTTTGAGTCCAAATAACCAACTAACCAAGCAAGGAGGAGGGGTATCCACTCTTGTTTTTAGAGTTCGCATACCAGCAGTGGCCACACCTGGCTTGGTCGTGGGGTGGGGGAGGCAGTGGTACCTGCACAACAACTGAATCTATTTTGAGTGTCGCTTCACACAAAGCAACCCGCCATGTTGGTAGGATTAAGTATGCACATGAGTAATGCTTCACGGTGAGCAAACAGTTGTATTTAGCTGCGCTTCCTCTCCTCCAGATGGAGAGGCAGACAGAACCTTTCAATTTTTCACATTACATATACGGGGAAACGCTGAATCCTATGTTGTACATCACCTTGAGAATGGGTGGCAATTAAGTGTGATCAAAGGAAGGGAAGAATAACTTCAAGTCTTTGGATCAAGAACTTTTCACCAATATCGAGGCACCACCTCCCCTCCCTCCCTTGATGGTATAACAAGCATCTTGATGTAACGTTCCTCGGAGGTACTAACTACCTTCACTTAATTTATCCTTGGTGGTTCCTTCTACAGCGACAGCGGTAGTAGTCCTGGCAGCGTCGGGGACTCCAGGGAGGACGGCCTCGACGACGAGGACGAGGACGAGGCCGACACCACCACCACCGACACGGACGACTTCCGTTCACCTCCGGTGTCGCCTCTGAAAGTGGACACCCCGCTGGGGCCTACGACACTGAGGGGTTCACCAAGCCTGCCCCTGCACCCACCTACACTGCCTGCAAGGTACGTCAATCCCTCACTCCTTTCCTGCACGAGCGGAAATAAAGATACTAGTTTTTTATACAACGTTTCGCCCAAGGCTGGACTTTATCAGGTATATTGGTGTGAGCAAAATACATGGCCTTATAAGGGAAACGGGCACATGGAAGTCAATTTCGGAGAAAGATAGGTCACATACGAGGTCATGAAATTGGGAAATCAAGTATACGTCAGGTTAGGTAATGACATGTAGGGAGTATGAGTAAAATGACAAGTTTATTATGTTTGTTATACGACTCATGAACAGTGTGGTAATAGGTCCAGCTAACATACATTCCACTATTGTGCTCAATGGTATTGGTGAGATTGCGATGGACTACGCTTGCTTTGTTGGTTTATCCCTCCTGCAGACAAATTTATGTTCCTGAGGATGTGTCTGGAGGACTCTGCCGTCCAAATAATTCTGGGTTGAGGACTTTTGGTGATCTCTGATAGTTTTGGTAGTAAGGACTGTTATATCCATGTTGGCTTTTCGGAGAATCGAGGCGATGGTGATGGTAATCTACCTAGTGGGGAGGACACCAGCCGTCTATAGATATTGGTACATTGTGTGTGTGTGTGTGTTAGGACGGAATACATAGTGTGTGTTGGGAAGGAGTACATAGTGTGTATGTGTGTTGGGAAGGAGTACATAGTGTGTGTAGTGTGTGTGTGTGTTGGGAAGGAGTACATAGTGTGTGTGTGTGTGTGTGTGTGTGTGTGGGAAGGAGTACATAGTGTTAGTTACCATTGTGTCCTAGGCACATGTCGATTAGACACTAGACATGTTGTATATGCGTGTGTGTGTGTGTTGGAAAGGAGTACATCGTGTGTGGTGTGTGTGTGTGTGATGTGTGTGTGTGTGTGTGTGTGTGTTTGGGAAGGAGTACATAGTGTGTGTGTGTGTGTGTGTGTGTGTGTGTACTCACCTAGTTGAGGTTGCGGGGGTCGAGTCCGAACTCCTGGCCCCACCTCTTCACTGATCGCTACTAGGTCACTCTCCCTGAGCCGTGAGCTTTATCATACCTCTGCTTAAAGCTATGTATAGGATCCTGCCTCCACTACATCGCTTCCCAAACTATTCCACTTACTGACTACTCTGTGGCTGAAGAAATACTTCCTAACATCCCTGTGATTCATCTGTGTCTTCAGCTTCCAACTGTGTCCCCTTGTTACTGTGTCCAATCTCTGGAACATCCTGTCTTTGTCCACCTTGTCAATTCCTCTCAGTATTTTGTATGTCGTTATCATGTCCCCCCTATCTCTCCTGTCCTCCAGTGTCGTCAGGTTGATTTCCCTTAACCTCTCCTCGTAGGACATACCTCTTAGCTCTGGGACTAGTCTTGTTGCAAACCTTTGCACTTTCTCTAGTTTCTTCACGTGCTTGGCTAGGTGTGGGTTCCAAACTGGTGCCGCATACTCCAATATGGGCCTAACGTACACGGTGTACAGGGTCCTGTTCTGAGGTTTGCTAGGCGCCCATATGCTGCAGCAGTTATTTGGTTGATGTGCGCTTCAGGAGATGTGCCTGGTGTTATACTCACCCCAAGATCTTTTTTCTTGAGTGAGGTTTGTAGTCTCTGACCCCCTAGACTGTACTCCGTCTGCGGCCTTCTTTGCCCTTCCCCAATCTTCATGACTTTGCACTTGGTGGGATTGAACTCCAGGAGCCAATTGCTGGACCAGGTCTGCAGCCTGTCCAGATACCTTTGTAGTTCTGCCTGGTCTTCGATCGAGTGAATTCTTCTCATCAACTTCACGTCATCTGCAAACAGGGACACCTCAGAGTCTATTCCTTCCGTCATGTCGTTCACAAATACCAGAAACAGCACTGGTCCTAGGACTGACCCCTGCGGGACCCCGCTGGTCACAGGTGCCCACTCTGACACCTCGCCACGTACCATGACTCGCTGCTGTCTTCCTGACAAGTATTCCCTGATCCAATGTAGTGCCTTCCCTGTTATCCCTGCTTGGTCCTCCAGTTTTTCCACCAATCTCTTGTGTGGAACTGTGTCAAACGCCTTCTTGCAGTCCAAGAAAATGCAATCCACCCACCCCTCTCTCTCTTGTCTTACTGCTGTCACCATGTCATAGAACTCCAGTAGGTTTGTGACACAGGATTTCCCGTCCCTGAAACCATGTTGGCTGCTGTTGATGAGATCATTCCTTTCTAGGTGTTCCACCACTCTTCTCCTGATAATCTTCTCCATGATTTTGCATACTATACATGTCAGTGACACTGGTCTGTAGTTTAATGCTTCATGTCTGTCTCCTTTTTTAAAGATTGGGACTACATTTGCTGTCTTCCATGCCTCAGGCAATCTCCCTGTTTCGATAGATGTATTGAATATTGTTGTTAGGGGTACACATAGCGCCTCTGCTCCCTCTCTCAATACCCATGGGGAGATGTTATCTGGTGTGTGTGTGTGTGTGTGTTGAGAACTTTTAAGTAGGTAAACACCTCAGTCTATCCTTGTTTTTCTGAAAGGATAATTGCCACTGCAAATTCGGAGTGCTTAGAGGAATAAATCTGCGATAACTTCCCTCTTGGTGTTGAGGTCATAGAGAAGTACTGTTTTAGGTCATCCTTATTGGTGGTCTCTTTCAATAATTTGAGTTTAAGAGTATTTCCATCTTTGATGAGTAGGATATCCATAAAGGGTAACTATCCTTCTCTCTCTTCTAGTGTGAATTATATAGAGGAGTTAATCATGTTAAGCGAAGCTCTGTACTGAGTAAAGTTGAGCCACATAGGAGCACTAAGCAAGATATCATCCACATATTCAAGCCAAATGATGTGTCATGGGATATCTTTAAAACGGTCCCTGTCAATGTGTTCTAAATAGATGTTTGCTAAAACTGCACTAAGAGATGACCTCAGCCATTCCATTTTTTTTTTTGTAAATGTTACTGCCGCAGGTGAAGAGGTGGCACCTAACACAAGCTTCAGTGAAGTCAATGAAATTTTCTACAGGAAGAGGTAAGTCAGGTCTGCAGTGACAGAATTACGAAGAAAGGTAATTGATTGAAGGAGGGCTGAGGGAAGAGGGAAGTCACGTCCAAGATAACGAGTTTTTTGGACGTGACCATGTTATTCAGCCTAGAAAGGTCTCCAGAATGTCATAAATTTGAGTTGTTCTGACTGTGCTAAAACACCTTATAGCGTGGGAGGTGCGATACCGAATGCTGAGTTTGTGTCTTGGGAATGCCGTGGATGTGTGGAGGTTTTGGTTTAGTAAGAAGGAGGTAACAGTTTACGTCCCTGCGTGAAACGCATGAGAATTTTCCTAGTTTCTCTAAGGAAGGATGTTGCTTCTCTGTCCAGTGTCTGAGGTGTGATACTCTCATAGGTGTTTTGGCCGCTATACAGAAGATTCATATTGGCCTAGTAATCGTCTCTGTCAAGAATGACAACTCCTTCTTCAGGAGTAATATTCCTAATGCTTGGAGTTTCAGCAAGTTTCTTGAGGGCTTCATTATAAAGCATGATAAGAGAGGGTGTGCGAGTCTCCTGTTTACTTCATAATACCCACCTTGGGCGAAACTTATTTAAAAAAATCTGTGCTACCAGTGTTTTTCTTTCTACTTGTTTACTATGTCACTGTCTGCCTGCTCCTGCACCTTCCCCACACTCCCTACAAAGTAGGTCCTTCTATCCTATCTATTGTCATAAGTGCTTCTGGCTCTGTCTTTGTGATGCATCCTGGTGAGAAAACGAAACTTCTCCGAACCTGAAAATTTGTAGGCTCTGTATGACCCATACGGGTTTGGCGCTTGTTTTCGAATATAATAATAATAATAATAATAATAATAATAATAATAATAATAATAATAAGAAGAAGAAGAAGAAGAAGAAGAAAGAAGAAGAATTCACGTGATTGCAATTTCAGTAATTCTGACCTCCTGAAGAGACCACGTAAGAACGTTATGTACTTACATTGTTGTGGATACGGGGGTCGACGCTCTGCTCCCAATCTATCTCAAGTGTTGCTAATCTCGTGCGCCCTCTCATACCTGTCCCTAAACGTTTGCATGGATTTTCTACCACTTCGTCTAGATGATTCACCTAGCACCCCCACGCTAAAGAAGCACATCCTGACGTCCGTGATTCATCTTCGTCCTCAATTTATGCTCTCATCTTCCAGGCGTTTTTCTTCCAAACTATACCTCTCTGCACTTTCGAGTCCTCTTAGTATCTTGCACGTCGTGATCATGTCTCTCTTAGGTGCGTAGCATTTTTAGGAAAGCGGCTTTCTCCTATTTTATTTCTAGCTTCTGGAGTAGATAGGTTATAGCATGGATGCGCATCTGAACCATTATTTTGTCCTAGTTGATTCTCTCATTTCAATAGATTATTATTATTATTATTATTATTATTATTATTATTATTATTAATAGTAGTAATAGTAGTAGTAGTAATTTTCATCGAGAGGCATTAAATCTGTATGGGTTATACATCGCCTGGGGAATGAGAGGTAATCAGGCTTGATCCAAAGCTAGGCGAAAAGTAACTCTAGTTCCTTCGATCAAGAGTCCTTCATCAACATCAGCGGACCCCCTTCTCCTCCATCCCTTGAAGGGCCACCTCTGCAGCCCTCATCACAGTAGAGATGTTACCTATATTGGTAATCATAATGAAGGTCCCACCTCTGGTTCAACTATGCAACACGACGGGTTAGCCAGCAGCATCCTCGCTCTGTACCTTTCTTAATTAAGCACATCACTTCATCGTTCATGCCTCGTCTGACTCACATTTGCAACATGTCATAACAATGTCATAACAATTAGATATTTGAGGAGTCCGACTTAATGTAACCACTGACACATGTGGCTCCAGTTTCACTTTGGACCCCTTGATGACTGTCTCTTAATGTTTGAAGAATTGTATACCTATAAAATCACTGTAGAACCAGATTAGTCTTTTATTTCAAAGAATTGAAAGGATTTAAGAAAACCTATTTAACATTTAAAATACAAGTACGCAA